ACGTACGTACCGACGACGTAGTTAGTTACTACTACTAAGTAGTAGTAGTACTATTAGAGAGAAGAATAANACACATACTAACTATAGTAGAGAGAGAGAGAGAGAGAGAGAGAGAGAGAGGGCTACAGATTATTGGAAGTGAGAGAGAGAGAGGAATGCATAGAAAAAACAAGGTTTTAATAAAACATCACACTAAGCATTTAGATACAATTATATGTGGACAAGGAATTAATGGCATGGCATCGGTTTTCCCGGCCACAGATGGGATTCTTCGTAATTTAAAGTCATTCCAATGTAAGTATGACCGCCCTTCCCTAGATTACATATTATTATAATTTACGAAAAAGTTATATAGAGCCGAGGCTCTAATCGATCAAATTAGAGCGTACCTAAAGAATTTCACTAGAAGAGGTTGCTTTAATGCCCAAATATCTTTAAATTGACCATCTCGACATCAAGATGCATAGATATGATAAAAAAATAAATTTTAAATTTTAGAGATAATGTATCTTGTAATTCATTTTTAGACAATATTTTCAAGTTTTCATAGATATGCTCCATTTACACCATTTTTTAAGTTTTAAATTTTATAATTAGATATGAACATATATTTTAAGGCTGTCACAAAGATTTTCAGGATTGAAACATATTTATTGACACTAACTGAAGGTGTGTTCTATGATTGTTTAGAGCCTTGGCTCTATACAAACCACACCGTTGTATTTATGTGGGCAAGGTTTTACATTTGACACTAGGTCGATTTAAAGCTTAAAAAAGAATTTATTTTGAATTTTCTTGAAGGGTTTATTTTAATTTTTCATAAATTATCAAATCTTCAATATTTTTTCCAAACTAAAAAAAGTTTATTTAAGGTTATAACCTTATATACTTAGAAGCAAGGTGTACCTCAAAAATCCTGTAGGAAAGAGTGTAATGAAGTTGGAAAATTTTTGAAATTGCTACGACGAGATGTATGATTATAAAGACAAAACGACTTTCCAGTCCTAGAAAATAATTTATCTTGTAACAAGTTATTTAGACTATCTATTTTGAAGATTTAAGTGTTTATAGATCTGCTCGATCTGCACTATTTTTAGAATTTGAAATTTCATAATTAAGGTTGAACTATGAATTTTCAAGCCATTATAAAATTTTTGACACCAAAAGAACAAATTTTTGAAGGTGCGTCTTACCTGAATAGTATAGGGTGGGCACCTTGCACCTGGTACCAGAAATACCCTTTCAAACTGTAGTTCCAATGTGGAAAGACCTTTTTTGTGTGATTTAGGATGGTTTAGAGTATGTTTAATGGTACCATGAGATGCTGATGTTTAGGGATATTGTAGAATCTGTAATAATCTTGATTTTTAAAGATATTGAAAGGACTTGCGACTTATTTGATTGTACAAGGCAATACCCTCTAAATCTTAATAACAGTCAATTGTCATGATCCCACAAAATTAAAGTCTAACTTTAATTTTACGAGATTCAAGAACAACAACGAGATAAACAGGAGCACCAACATCAACCCTCTCTGCAAATTTCACTACCTTAAAAATCAAGCAATTTGACCCACAGGGAATTGGAGAACAACTTTACTACTCCTCACGTCGCCTTCTTTTGAGCCTCCTATTCCAATGGCCTTTCCTCTACTCACTATCTCTTCTGGTTTATGGTCTGTGAAAGAGGAGGATTTTTTAGAGAAAAGAGATCAGAACCCAAATAGATATATTAGAATAATATAATTACTGCCAAACATGTATAAAAAGAAGATAGAGATATCTGAACCTCGTTGGGAGAAATATATTTAGAATAATGAGGCAGCTTCAAGGAGGTTCGGCTTTGTCCTACCACCTATGCACCTTATGGACTTGGTTTTTGCATATAACATAGAATTGTAGATTTCTATTGTGGTTTGAATTAGATCATAGGAGATTGCAAGTACTTAATTTAAATAGAAGGAATTGTATGCTCTTGAATTTTTTCGAAACTTATGAAAAATTTTTGTATTGTTTGGATACAAGCAAGTAAGCAACAATTGACTTGAATTCACATCTAAATTTTGTCCACTCACTATCTCTTCTCTCTTCCCTTCTGGTCTTTTCTCACTGTGATTGTATTACTATTGGCTTTAACACTTAGAAATTTATTACGAATAAAACCTAATTTTCTAAATCCGTCGTTTTGAGAGAGAGAGAGAGAGAGAGGGAGAGGGGCAAAACGCAACAGTCTTATAAATGTATGATTATCCCTTATAGAACCACAATCTTTGTTTGGAAAAAATTATCATATGTATCCCTTAAAATATCGATCATATGTTTTGTGATGAATGTTTTGCAATTAAATGAAAAATTACAAGCACATAGTTCAAGAGTTCTTCTAAGAAATATTGAAACAAATTTATCTCTTCTTTATTTTTCACAAGCTACATTGATTGCCCTACAAGAATTAGAGATATTAATTCTAAGTTTCAAAATATCGAAGTATATAACTTGATTTTTTAAAACATTGACGTTAATTGAATGTTTGATATGCAAGATATCTAACTGTAAGGATACAATGAAAAGGAATAAAAAAAAAAAGATTTCATCATAGTTAAGAATTAATATTGTAGTTTGGAATGAATTGACATAGTTAATCCATATGAAATTTAATGGAGAGTAATAATAATATAAAAACTGCGACTCAATTTCTATGGATTGACAATCCAAACAGTGGACCGACATATCCATGTTTCTTATCAGGTGTTATCCAAATAATAGATACCCATATCCCAAGGACAGAACAATTCCAGGAGTAATCAATTCCAGTATAAGCCTCTCCCTAGGACAAGCTTCTCTAGGTATCCAAGGTCCCAAACAATCCTTTAGAATCTTACAACTCCAAGCATTGGCTGCTCATACTCTTTTATAAGGGTATGGAAGGCTTTAACACAACTCCCTTCCTATTCCTTTTCAGAGCACTAGTTTGATGTGGTTCGTTTTATCATGATGATGCCGCAAAAATACCTTTGAGATTTCAAAGCGCAATGGATGCTACCAAACCAGGTGGTAAGATGTTTTAAAAGTAAATAATACATGTGCATTTGTCATGACAAGAAAAAAAAAAAAATGCATTCGTCATAATAAGAAAAAAAAGAAAATAGAGTAAGTTTACACTTTGCGCAGGGCCTCAAAGCCTGCATGTCTTTCCAAAAAAAAAAAGAGAAAAAAAAGAAAAGAGAACGTCAAAAACTCTTGAAGAGCTGCTGCAATTCCTTTATCTCAAAAACTTTCTTCTCCCTCTGCTTCCGAGTATTCTCTCTATTTGCTTTGACCAAATCAAGGAAGTGCATGGCAGTGTCTGAATAATTATTTTTCTTCTTCAGGAGTTCGGAGGATGCTAACGCTTTCTGGATCACAAGTTGTCTTCTATTGATGAGATGGATCATATAGGCCTCTTGAGCTTGGAGACCTCGACATCAGCTTCTAGCTCTGCAATGTACAGTCCCATGTTTTTACGGCGAACCTTTGCTTCTGTAATCCAAAACTCCATATCCTCCACCCTCAAGGCATCTGATAGATTGAGAGAAGCTATTAAAATTTAAACTCACTAATTGAAAAAGAAGCAGATCGCACAAACAATACCCCTGTATACGAGTTCATATTGTTATTGATATTGATTTATTTCTTTTGTGTGTGTATATTTTTTTTCTTAAAATCGTATGTACAAGTTTCAAGGTCCGAATCAAGGGTATTCGGCCTAGCTCTTACGCTGATGTAAATTGTAATAGAGGTTTAAGCCTCTAGAACTCTTTCATTCCCATTAATACATGTAAAACTTGTGTTTTTATGATATGGAATACATGGTGAATTTGGTCCCGAATGCGTTTATCCTCTCGTTGTTCATTTGGAGTCATGATTTTTTAAACATTTTTAGTTAATGCGGCATATTTTTCGGAACGACCCCTCCCTAATAATTAAAAAGTCATTATATAATATGATCCATGTGATCATGGTGACGCTACATTCGTAAGAGTCTTCAGCATCCAGCCAATGGTTGAATGGTGATGGATGGAGATTAGATCATAGAAATGAATAATGCGAAGCTTGGTGGAACTCAATTTTTTAGGCTTACCTAATAATTAAAAAGTTATAGTATGGTATGATCCATACGATCATGGTAACACAACATTCATAAGAGTCATCATCAGCATCCAACCAATGGTTGTATGGTGATGGATGGAGATTAGATCATACAAATGAATATTGAGAAGTCTGGTGGAACACAATTTTTTAGGCTCCCTAATAATTAAAAAGTTATAGTATGGTATGATCCATACGATCATGGTAATGCTACATTCATAGAGTAATCAGCATCTAGCCAATGCTTGAATGGTGATGGATGGAGATTAGATCATAGAAATGAATAACGAGAAGTTTGGTGGAACTCAATTTTTTAGGCTACTCCCTAATAATTATGACCCATATGATCATGGTAACGCAACAGTCATAACAGTCGTCAACATCCAACCAATGGCCGAATGGTGATGGATGGAGATTAAATCATACAAATGAATATTTTTGGAACCCAATTTCTTTCATTCAACTTCCAATCAACTTCCAACCTAATCATGTGGCCGTGATGGGTCGTATGAGGCTATGACCAGAGGGCAGCTATAATGAATAGTAATATAGACGGAATCTCAGCCGTCAGATCTTCATCGAGTGGTTCAAATACATATCACTGTTTTAATTTTATTTTATTTTTTTATAAATATGATTAATATGAAATTTTGGGTGTATATACCTAACACTATTGCGCACCATATAAAAATATAAAAACATTATTTTAAATAATTTAAAATGACCAAATTACCCCCATCATTTCAAGGGT